TTGCGTACGTAACGAGTTTCTTTTTTTCATTTGGTTTGTCACTGTTAAAATTAATTAACGTACCAGCCAATGTCTCGGTGGAAATAAATCTCGCCTTGAAAGTCACCTTGAACTCTTCCTATGTTATTTCTGGTATACAAATTGTGAAAGACACGTCGACCCTTATCCTTTTAATTCCTTACTGACTGTTAAAATAAGCTAGCCGCCGTATGGAGGGTAGTCGGCAAAACACAAATCTACAGTCGCAAATCAATATCTTGCGTCCGTATCCATATTGTCAGGGTCAAACTCGCGTAACTTGACGTTCTTCTTCATCAGAGGCATTTGCATGGCCTCGATAAGAGATCACATAATGACATTTTGTTGTTCAAACATTGCACGTCATTGTTCACTCAGAGTTAGTTCTTTTTGCAATTGAACCAACACTGATCCCGCTTCTGATATCGAAGCAACATTAATTTTCTCTATTATTTTCCATTATTTTATCATGAATTATACAGTGGGCGTTATATGGGAAGTGCTGGTTCAAATGAAAGTCGATGCAATCACAGTTGTATTTCAAATTAACAATAATCACTTTGTACATAGTTAAACAGCACTTCACTACACAACCATATACCACTTCACTATTACCACGTATAGACAATACGGAACGCAAGACAGTTCCTAGTGGAGCGGTCCTAAGCTTGGCTCGGCTCGAAGGCAAGTGTCCAGCCCTCTTAGCACCCCTCCCTTAGCTAGGCTCCGTCGTAGCACGAAGCTCGCCGAATGTTGGCGATAATACCGAAGGTGCTGCCATCACTCAGGCGTCGTGCCGCGCTTCGTTTAGCGACCGTATTGATGACCGTCTCCGACATAATCATTATTGTGAATAAGCGTGTGGTGTTTGCGCTTGCAAATTTTACAACCTGGTTTTTTGCAAGAATTAGGATAGTGACCGTGACGAAAACAATTAAAACAAATCTTGTAATTTTGCAATAATAACATTCTATCGCTAACACTCAGTGCTAAGAACTGTGGACATGAATTTAAGTTATGATCGCCACTACACTTTGGACAACCGTGTGCTAATGAAGAATTTATTTTTTCTGTGGAAACCATAGCCTTAATTTTAGTGTTGGATTTAATATTACTGGAAGAGGGGCGTGATAGTTTAACTGTTTCTAGTAAGTCGGCACGGCTACGCAGAAAATCCATGAAATGTTGAAATGAAATTGATTGAGTTTTATCAAAGCGACCTTTAAACTCCTCCCACTCTCTAAATGTTTTAAAATTTAATTTTTTACTAATGATATATATTAGAAGAGTATCCCAACTGTGAACAGGCTCGCCTAATGAACTTAATGCTCTAATATTTTTGTTTATATTGTCGATTATGCGTTTCAATGCAATTGAGGATTCTTTCGTAATCGATTCGATATCAAACAACGCCGTGACGTGATTATTAATTAATAAGCGTTTGTTATCGAAACGTTCACAAAGAAGTTCCCATGCAACTGTGTAGTTTCGGGCGGAGAACTCAATTGCTTTAATTACTATGGCAGCCGAACCTTCCAATGATGATCGCAAATAATGAAATTTGTTAATTTCGTCCATATCGTCATTATCATGAATAAGACTAGTAAAGGTATCGCGAAATTCAAGCCAGTTAACGTAAGATCCTGAGAATTTTGGTAATGAAATGGTAGGTAACTTGACTAGTTGACGCTTTGAACTACTGTGGCTAGATTTTACATCATCTTTTTCTAATTTAGAATAGTTATTTAACATAATTTTTACCTGAGCGACTAAGTTGTAATACTGAGATTCTACTGTAGTTCTTTCAATAGATTCAACATCAAGATTTTCACATAAACATTCTAATTGTAATTGAATGTCGTTAAAGTCATCATATAAATTTTCTAACTTATCAATACGTAACTGTAACTCCATTGCCTGACAAGGGGTTAACTCGAAACCTTTTAAAAGACCTAAATAGGTTGCAAATGAAGTAATTCTTCCCTTATAACTGCCACGTTTCTTTTTAAGATCTTTTATGTCGGTCATTTTGGAAGGCAGGTGTCGTCAACCTGGAATTTTACAACAGAACGCTAAATAATGTAACAAATATCTTTATAACAATATTATTATGACAATGAGCATTAATCACTAAATAAATATAATTTAATTTGACTTTTAAAAGCACTGCGCTTATAATTTTGCTGTTGTATGATAGACTTAAGACTAGTATATTTAAATGACTTATTTTACAATTCTAACTATCTACAATGATAACTACTTACTACTAGGCCTTTGCGTCTATTCCAGACGATTTATGGTGCAATGTTGGAGATATACCTCTTTTGGTGGCTGTATAGACCGATGCGAGAGCTACATGTCCTACCGCAGACCTGACAGGAGAAGTTTGCGACGGATGGTACTGAGTCGCCTTGACGTCGTCTTTGTCTCTTTTTAGCAAGTGTCGCGAACCCGGTCTCATCGCAGAACTTGCGACCCTCCATAATACTTTTGCGCCACTCCGTTCGATTTTCTGCAAGTCTTTCCCAGTTTCGGTGGTCAATTTTAAAAGTAACCATGTCTCTCTTGGCGCAGTCTTTAAAGCGAAGCAGTGGCCTCCCTACGTTTCTTATTGCGTTCGCAATCGCACCAAGAAGTACACGTCGTGGTAATCAAGACTGTTCCATTCTGTGCACATGCCCGAGCCAGCGCAAACGTCTCTGTTTTAGAAGCGTGGTCAAACTAGGTAGTTGTGCAATTTCTAGAACTCTCTCGTTTGTCACCCTGTCTTGCCATGAGATGTCCAAGATTTTACGAAGGCAACGCATGTAAAAAGAGTTTATTCGACGTTCGACCTTTGCATACGTTGTCCAGGTTTCAGCTCCGTACAAGAGTATGCTTATAATGGAGGCTTGAAAGACTAACACTTTGGTCTTGGTGGTTAGATATTTGTTTTGCCATACTCTAGTACTAAGCTTCCCGAACATGGTCGCTGCTTTACCGATGCGAATGTCAACCTCTGCATCCAGCGACAGATTGTTCGTTACAGTTGACCCTAGGTAACAAAATCTGTCAACTACCTCTAGCAGCGTACCATTGAGCGAAATTGCTGGGGCCTTAGAAGTGCCTTGTGCTAACACAACTGTCTTCTTTGCGTTTATGGACATGGCGAACAGGGAACAAGCCCGTGAGAATTGATTCACCATATACTGGAGCTCACGTTCGGAATTAGCAACGAAAGCTGCGTCATCGGCATAAAGAAGGCTATCGATGAAAAGATCCTCGCGGCTTCTTTTGGATTTGAGTAGTGAGATGTTAAGCATCCTTCCATCGGTTCTTGTATGTAGATGTATACCCTGTTGATTTTCGTCAAAAGCGGTGCGCAATATGAGCGAAAAATATATACCAAACAGGGTAGGAGCCAAGACGCAGCCCTGTCGAACACCTCTGGAAACATCAAACGGCTTAGATGTTTTACCGCTTAAAACTACTGTGCCCTTCATGTCTTCATGAAAAGATGCAACCAGTCTCAGGAGCTTAGGCGGGCACCCAATACTCTCAAGCGCCGTGTACAAGCCCTTTCTGCTGACCGTATCGAAGGCCTTATTAAGGTCAACGAAAGCTACTACTAAGGGACAGTTTTGTTCTCGACACTTCTCCTGTATTTGGCGAAGTGTGAAAATCATATCCACTGTCGAACGGTTGGAGCGGAAACCACATTATGACTCAGGATAGATACGTTCAGCAAGCTTTTGGAGTCTTGATAGAACGACTAGACCAAAAAGCTTGCCAACTATGCTCAAAAGAGAGATACCGCGAAAATTGTTACAGTCGCCGCGATCACCTTTCCCTTTGTATAATGTGATGATGTTAGCGTCCCGCATATCCTGAGGCACATGCCCCGCTTCTCAACATTTGCACAATAGATTATGCAGGATTGGTTTCACACATTCGAGCTTTAATATTTCAGCATGGATGCCGTCGCCGCCGGGACTCTTACCGCGCTTAAGCCGATTGACAGCCTTGGTGAAATCCTCTACAGACGGTAGATCATCTAACTCATTCAATACACCCAGTTTTGGTATGCTCTGTGTCGCCTCCGGATGTATGATTACTGGACTTGAGTAGAGATCGGTATAGTGCTGGACCCAACGATCAAGCTGTTTTTGGCTGTCAACAATGACAGTGCCATTTGCGTCCTTTAGAGGGGCTGTCTTTTTTGAAACGGGTCCGAGAACGCGTTTAATACCCTCATATACACCACCTATGTTTCCACTGTCCGCACACATCTGTATATTGCGACCAAGATCCGACCAGTATAAGTTGGCAAAGTATCGTGTACTTCGTTGAAGAGAAGTTTTAGCTGTTCGAAGTGCTTTATCAGTTACTGGACAGGGATTCATACGGTGCCTAAGTGCGGCATTCCGCTTTGAGTCTAAAAGAGGTTGTAGGTACTCAACGTTGTCCTTGAACCAGTCCTGAGACTTGGTCCTCACACATCCGAAAACCTCAGTGGCGCTATCAGTCAGTAGTTTTTTTGCTTTATTCCACTCGACGCCTATCGGTGTATTGGCATCCCAATCAGCAAGTTCTTTATTTGCCAAGCACTCAAACTGTCGGACTTTTTCATCATCCCGGGTATTAGAAAGATTTATCTTCCTCCTACCCGGCGTTTTAGATGAATGTATCCTTTTATGAGCTATGGCAACTTGTGCTGCTACCAGAGAGTGGTCGGTGTCACAGTCGGCGCTATGGAATGTACGAGTGTGAAGGAAATCGCGGAGGTCTTTGGATCTCGTTAGTATCACGTCTAATTGATGCCAGTGGCCTGATCGCGGGTGCTTCCAAGACACTTTTCGGGACAGCTTGCCCTTAAAATATGTATTGGTTACGCATAGCAGGTATTCAGAACAGAACTCCAGTAAACGTCGGCCATTGTCATTAATATTGCCGATTCCATGGTAACCAATACAATCAGGCCATGCGGAATGATCCCGTCCCACCCGGGAATTGAAGTCACCCAAGATGTACAGGCGATCACTACTAGAAACAGTTTTCACCGTCTCGGTCAGTTGGTTATAAAAATACTCTTTTGACTCGTCCGAAGATTTTAATGTCGGAGCATAAGCAGCAATTAGGGTAACATGACCGAGACTGCTCTTTAGTCTTAAGACCATTATGCGTTCCGAAACGCCGCATAGAGTTTCAATGGCGGAAAGTATATCGTTTCGGACCGCAAAACCAACACCGTGTTCACGAGCATCGCCAAAGTCTTTTCCTTTCCAAAAGAACTTGTAAGAGGACTCCTGCAATGAGCCTTCGTCGGGTAATCTGGTCTCTTGCAAAGCGCAGACAGAGATGTTAAGCCTGCTCAGCTCTGCATCTATCACGGCAGTTTTACGCAGATGTTGTGCGTATCCGTAACCTCCACAGGTGTCCGGGAGGCCTGTCCGTATAGTACGGACATTCCATGTTGCAATGCGCATGGCTTGGCGAGGCGGGTTTTTATAAAACTGCTTTGTAAAACCAGGTGTGGAAGTTAACGACACCAGCCGTCTAGCCAGGAGCTAGTGCTCCCTACACCTCAAGGGAGCAAGCTGGCAACGGGACGGATTGGTACCTTATTGTCCGGGGGCTGCCCAGATTGAAGCGGGCGGTAACCAATCGATGGGTCTTCGATGGACCCTCCCACTGTCGAAAGTGACCCCTAGCGCCTGCACTTACGCCCATCTGTGCAAGACTTATAACTGGTAACTGCCACTTCCCGTGTTGTTGTCCATACAGCTACGCTGCCGTGGGTGGAGTGACCTCTCCACAGACATTACACCGCCTGGGACGGAATTAAGGAAACACAGGGATGCCCAGCACCTGCATTACCCTCTCGGCCTCGTTGGCTTATCCCACAGGAAAGGCGAGCCAATACGTGTGGAGCCACGTCGGGTGCAGAAATCTGCCGCATATTTCGGGTTGGACCCTACTCGCGTCTTACGGTGATTCCGCTCCGGGTTTTATTTTGGAATTTTCCTTCTCCTAGATGGGTTGCAAACCAATGCTTAGAGGCCCATCTCCCCTACACTGAAGCGTAGATAATAGCTTCGTTTGTTTATGGACTTAGTCGCCTTTTACGACACCCTCGTCCTTTGTCAGGGTTGGTGCTATTCTTGAGCCGAACACCACACGGAACTACTTACAATGCTAATAATTTTAAGGTTTAACATTAAATATTGTATTAATCTGAATAGTTAACTAATGTAATATTTATTAATATTACTGTACTGTCACAATGAAGCACTGATTAACTATAGTATACAATTATTATAAAATCAACCTAATGCAATGTAAATAACTAATTAATACGTTTTAAATTGTAGTAGTTATAAATAAAATAACAATGACTTGTAAATATTACATTAAAACATATTTTACTAACCTTATACAGTCTTCATATTGGTCATTAAGTTTTTACCTAGAATATTACCTGAGTGTTGGGTGAAATAAATTTTATTTAACGCTTAAAAACAATTTGTTTTATTAAATTAAATCACTCTAAAGTCCAAGCCACTTTTCTTCATCCAAAACGTGTAGGTTGAATCACTTCTTTTGGACACGTTGCTCAGTTTTATAATTTTATAAAATTCCAGATAATATTCTTTAAATCCCTATATTTCCAAAGAAATTATAATAATCCGGCTCGAAGGACCATGTGCGCGTATAGGGGTGTTTACTGGGATTTTTAAATGAAAAAATTAACTTTGATGACCGAACAGCACGCAGTCTACGATTTATTGAGAAAGAAAAATTTAAAATCACCGTCTGTGCTATAATGACAATATATAACGACGCCTGATAGAAAAAAAGAGCATTACGTTGGTTATGTTACTTAATTAACTTAAAATAGCTTAATGGTGCTTCAACACCTATTAGATATTCATATCTTAAAATATTGTCGGCTGGCACCGACTTCGAAAATATCTGATTAGGTATCTATTCTACATGTTACCTCCCGTTTAGTTATTAAGCTATTGCATAGCTTCTATCGCGGGCCTTGAGCGTGGGGACCGAATCCAGAAATTCCGTAACGAAAAAAACCTGACACCCCCCACTCCGACCGGCACAGCGGTGATACTTCCATCTATCGATAAATACCAGAACTTTTAATGACTTTTTGGAATATCACGCTTGTCTCTTTAGTTCAGCAACCCGCCTTTATATGGCATTGGTTGTATTGGAAAACTACCGTAATCAGCTGTTTGTGAGAAAGTATATAGGTGTATAGGTATTTATCATCTATGTACAACAGTGAATATCTGTACTCGTATAATTTATGTACAAAGTGTTTTAAATATGAAGAAACAAAGTGCATTTATTAATGATGAAAGTCAAGGAAAAAAAATACTGCATTAATAAAATAAATAAATAATTATAATTGCATAAGTTGATAAAGAATGCTATGCAATAGCTTTACCGCGGCAGTCTCCGAGTGCCACACGTCTTTTTAGTTATTTTTTTTTACATTTTAGTGCTTGGAAGTCGGTTTTTTTTTCTAAAGTTTTTAGGATGCATTTAAGTTAAGTAATTAATTAAAAATATTCTTCGTGCCTATAGTTATTAAAAACAAACATACTGTTAATATATTTTATTTGTTAAAGAATTCTCTAATTTATGAATATTAAATACCACTTTCTTCGTGCGCCATATGTCTGGAAAATAAAATCACTATGGCAATATCACAAACATTCTGTCCTATTTAGATGTTGATATTTTCTTTCTTATTTTACTATGTACGAACATTATTTTTGTGACTTTGCACCTCTTGGTAATTAGACTTATAAATATACAATATAACTGCGAACATGGGCACAAAATCCATATTTTGGTTCAGTAGATATAAATGGTTAGTGTTATATTTTTACTTACCATCAACGAACAGTTTATCAGTGTCGGTAAGAACACCATTTCGGTTGTGGCAAGTAGCTCATCATTATCTATATTTGACCAGAACGTGTCGAATCCCTTAGTTTCTTTATACTCTTTTTCTGTAATCTTATCTTCTAATTGAAGAAGTCTATAGAAACATAAATATAAAAAAATATATAACAAAATATTTATGTAACTATTTAAACTAGTAATCGGCCTATTCAATAAGTATATTACAGACGTATTTATAGTCATCCATATTGCCTTTTTTTTAACGTTGGGAAATGCATTTACGCACGACGTGTGGGACTCACCGGCGTAATACAGCCAGTACTACCCACTAAAACCCAACAAAACCTTCCCCCGTCTTAATGGGGCGTCGCAGGATCGCTTACGCATTCAACTACGACGCCCCGACGGCAGGTCTGCCGAAGCAGACCACCACAACCATGGGGTTGCTCCAAGGTCCACTCTGCTATCAGAGAAGTACCAGGAGCAACCCGCATGGTACACCGCCCCCCGAAGAGGGCCACCTCCCACCGCCCACCGAAGTAGGCAACCTCCCTGTGCGTTTCTTAGCTTCGCGCCCGGTTGGGTTGCCGGGCACTACTGAGCCCCCCCACCACGACAAGGTGAACGCATGTTGGGGGGGGCGTCATCCATATTGCCTAACCCAAAGGTTGTGTGGAAGAAATTTCTAACTAGCTTATTATAATACCGCCTTTTAAGCACATTCTTAGTTTTTTTATTTTTGTCACTACTGTGTTGTACAATGAAGTGTAGATTGTAGGTGACTTATACATTTTACATAATATATTATTATATTTATATATTAAACTCTTCATTTAATAATATTTATATTTTATTTAATGTTTAATTTAAGTATTAATATCGTATACACACACCTACATACATACAATACGTATACTTAATTATTTATATTTATGATTATCATTTCATCATATTATTTATTTAATTCATAAGTAAGTATAGCCGCGCGAAACTCGTAGCATACGGCAGATTGGAATTTGTTTGTCTCCTACCTGCAACCTTTGATTTTTATAAAGCAGTCAGTCGATGCTTTGTTACCTGATGCTAATTACTTGTTTGATATAATTTAATCGTTTTCGTTTGTTATTGTATGTGGACTTCTTGAATATACTTTTGGTTTCGGAGCGTTTCGAAAACTATTTATACTAACTTAAAATTAAATTAATAAAAAAAATAAAACTAAATGAAACTCATGTAGCCAATTTGAGGCTCCTTTATTGTCTGAATACATTCTCGGCCGGCGAATGCCGGGTGGGCCGACCTGACGCTGAGTTTGCGTCCTTCTTATTCTATGTAAAACTTAATCTAGAGCGGATGGACGAGGTGTAACCATTACTCCTCCATCCCTAAGAGGAAAATTATCGGAGGGATCGATTTGAGATTCTTTCCGATAGTTTTGCTTAAATTATAAACATATTGACGATTTTAGCCAAATTATATAAAATATTAAGATAAAAAGACTTAAAACTATTAAAACAAATGTTACGTGACCTAAAATTTCACTGATTTGATTGTCTTTCTTTTTATTTAAAACACTTTTAATTACCGCACTAGGTTTCAACGAAAAGGTCATATATTTCACTTTATCAAAACTATTTCCTTTCATGTTGAGTACACTTGCGCTATATAGAGTCATATCCGTTTTGAATTGGGGTAGTGTAATAATTGGAATCTTCTTAATGACATTTGATTCTATTAGAGTTCGATGGTGGAAGCGAACTCCATGAATTTCCAGGTCACAGGGTTCATCGATAGTCATCAGGTCAGTTCCAAATAGAAATTGCTTACTGACCTCATGGTCGCGTTGCTTGGTCAGTGTTTTGTACTGTAGAGGAGCCAGCCATCTGAATTGACTTGCTGAATCTTAACCTCTTCGATCTGGATCTGATGCTGCTTATGAGAGTCAGGTCGTCATGAGCTGTTCTATACAGGTACGTTCATAATATAAAGCTCGATTGTCTGCAGTGCATAGGAATTGATCGCTGGTCGACAATGAACGACATGATTTTACAAGTGGTAAGTACTTTAATCATTTCGCCAAAAGGTAAGGATATTAGGAATAATAGCTAGAGTTATGTCTTCAGATTCATAAAAAATTGCTAATGAATATATCTTAAAATAATTATACGTTGAGTTATCTGTAATTGGTATTTCCAATATAAATGTTATCTGATTGTCTTTAATATATGATTTTATTTAAATGCTTTCCTCTATTTTTGTAATAAATTTGTTTCTGTTGGTACGAAGCTTACAGAATTAAAAATTAAATTTAAATGATATAAACGATTATGAAAGTGAACAGAGTTCTGGTTCAATGTTTTAGTTACATTAATGAAACTGTCAAACATTTTAGAGACTATTGTCAGTTTCTTTGAAATAATAATTTGGTTATGATTTAAATTAGGGATAAGTCCGTCGTACTAAACCGCGTCATCGTGATCCAGATTACCAGTTATTATTTTTATTACACTATATTTTCTGGGAGGTTATATAAAAACACGCATAGAGCTGTATTATT